GTGTGCCGGGTGACTGTGGTGCTGTTGTTTGTGTGGTGTGTGTGCTGTGTGTGTCGGATCGTGTGCTGTGGTGTGCCGGGTGACTGTGGTGCTGTTGTGTGTTGTGTGTGTGTGCTGTGTGTGTGTGTGGTGTAAGTAGGTGTGATGTGCGTGTGGTGTGTGTAGTGGCTATGTGTGTCTGTCTGTCCTGCTCGATACTTTTTGCTGAACCGTCTAGAGGTAGAAACTTCTCAAACTTGGATCCAGAGGTTAGCGGGGGCCCGGTGGAACCCTATTGATTTTTGAGGTGCCTTCACCCAGAGGTCAAGGGTTTACAGGATTCACATTTGGATGACTGGGATGAGAATTAATAGATAGATAGATAGATATTATAGATAGATAAATAGATCTGATAGATAGATTTAGATAGAAAGGAGAGAACAATAGATAGGAGTTGATTAGATAGATATTCGCCTGAGTGCCAAGCCTGTGCTAAGGTGGGGTGAGGACTTTGATTCCCACAGCGCCAGCCTGTGTGGCCCTGGCGAATCCACGGCACGGCGGTTACGTGGCACCAGACTACTGGGTATCCCTTAGCCAGTGGCTAGTCGGTTGGCCGTGTTTCCCTGTTACGAGTCTACAGCCAGCTGTAGGCCTAGCGGAAGTGAAACTGAATCGCTGCATCGTTTTCCGGAGGAGATTTGCATCTAAGATTTTCTAACATATGTGTTTTTTAGACAACCATGTTAACCCCACATAAATAACCAAAAGCGCAAAGCTGTTAGGAACTCGCAAACCTGATGCGTAGGAATGAAGCCCACGAAAAACTTCAGCCGGATTCGTGCACACGCGCCTGAAGTCTACTGCCATGAGACAACAACAACAGAACCACAGTCTACTTCAATATTATCCACCACTATCAGATAGAAATTAGTATTTTTCTCATTAAGCGGTTCCCTCGTTGGATGCGCAAAAATAAGATGAAGTTCTGGAAATCTAAATATATCATGTCGACGGAGTGCTCCCAAAAAGTAGGACGTTCAAATCCCTTCCCATGGGCGCAGTAACAACTGTAGTGCCAATGTTGATACCATGTGGACCGTCAAACGGTTCCTTGAAGTTATCCGTTTGCGACCGTAAGCAGGACAGCTGCCCACACTCACCACGTGAAACTTGGGCAAAATCTACCCTACTCCTTTGCATTACACTCTCACACAAAGAAACAAGACAAAACCTCCTGTGCAATATGGTTTGCCCTCTCTGATGGGCGGCCAGTCCTTATGTCGACTTCACACTACCAAAAATTTGCAAAAATCGCCGTTGAGCCTGAAGCTTGCACTTAGTGTAGCATTTCCTCGAACTTTTTTGCAAATTACGCATGGCTCGAAACGTACCTGGCGTCAACTAGGCACGGTGCCTCCAACAAGTACGACATCCGTCTCACATCTACTCCACATAAAGAAGTAAACAACTGTTACTGCAAGTTTTGAAAACATGTGCGGTCAAATGCGTTCTCAAGTTTATCATTGACCGATAGCCACATAATGTTGACGGCACGGAGCATGCAGACGTTACGACGGACGACCACCCCATGCAATAGCCTCAATCTTGACGATGTTCAAGGTGACGCTAAAAAGTATCATAGTTACAAAACCTTGGTTGTAAATCAATTATTAACTTAAGACTACTGAGATCCCGTCTCATCTGACATCTGGTTGATTCGGGTGCCTTGTGAAATACAAGAGAGGGGGCCGCCAAGATACAAGATACAAGTGAATCGGTACGTTATCGGAATGTCACCTGTTTAATATGCGTAGGCAGCTTTGACCAAGGGTAGCCATTCTTTATATGGAACTCTATATCTGCACTCATCTTAGCTAGTGTATTCACAAAGTTTACATACAAAACTTTGGAATCACAACATAGACAGAACGCCCATGTTTTCTATTTCTTACACTGGAAAGGCGACACCTTTCGGAAGAAAATGCAACCTTGATCATGGTGTTGAGACTGTCGACATAGACAAACATGCCGTCCGACCGTATGGTGTCGGACCAATGAAATGGCACTCTTTCTACACGACAAAGGGATCGAGTAGCCAGTCTAAATTTACAACCTCTTTATCGTAACAACAAGTATGGCAGGAGGCAAAGTGAAACTAAAGAGTGCCCCCGATGCACACGATGCACGATCATTTACCGACAGAGCGCCTCTTAAACTTGAGGTCGATTGGTGGTGGTTGGCGGCAATATTAGTGTCGATCGGAAGTTATGTATTTGATGTAGCAACAGATCTAGTAGTCGCCGCGCTACTATATCAGAAAGAGCAGTACAACTGGTTTGCTCTCACATTGGCTTTCGTTGTTGGAGCGAGTCTCGTCATGTCAGCATTTACTGTTCGGTGGTACCTACTGGACGCTAAACAAACAGATAAGCCTATTCCGCCCTGGAAGTGGGCGGCAAGGATTGTACTGATTATTCTTCAAATGGGACCCATACTCAGGTGACCTTTTAAAATGCAATTCTTTTAAAATTGTTACAGTACAGTACGGACCAGGCGGAAGGTGACCACCACAGGCACTTGGAACGTCTCAATAAAAAAAATTAATGGTAAATAAACACGAAATGTACCAAAGTCTTAATGTTTCTCTACTCGATTTCACCTATAATCACCTGAAAATGGCGGTCAAATGCTCATCTGCAACACAAGTACACCGCACGCCCGCCCTACGGCGCACAAACAACATGAATAAGAGAGCAGGTAGGAAAGCGTGATCGCAAAATTCGCTCGACGCTCGCTTTATTTCACACGATCACAGAATGAAAACATCCAACAGCTCCCATCTTGGTATCTATGTGTACATAAATGTTCACTTGTTCGAATTATAACTCTGGCCTTTGTTCTTACCTACTCCCACCAGAGATATCTCGTGAAATCCTGCAGGAAATGTTCTCTCCGTGAAAATGTAAAGAGGACGTATCATCCGAAAATCCCTAACGGCGCTACTTTCGATTGATCGCTGTAGTCGTGTGTGTGTGTGTGACGTCATGCCCGCGCGCATTGTGCTTGGCTTGGCGGGCCTGGAAACGGAGCTCGGAGGCCGGCGGCAGCTCATCCCGGCATGCAATGCGCCCCATTACTCGTGTATAAACAGAAATCTCGTCCTCTTTACATTTTCACGGAGAGAACATTTCCTGCAAGATTTCACGAGATATCTCTGGCGGGAGTAGGTAAGAACAAAGGCCAGAGTTATAATTCGAACAAGTGAACATTTGTGTACACATAGATACCGAGATGGGAGTTGTTGGATGTGTTTTCGTTCTGTGATAGTGTGAAATGAAGCGAGCGTCGAGCGAATTTTGCGATCACGCTTTCCTACCTGCTAGCTCTTATTCATGTTGTTTGTGCGCCGCAGGGCGGGCGTGCGTTGTACTTGTGTGTTGCAGATGAGCATTTGACCGGCATTTACAGGTGATTATAGGCGAAATAGAGTAGAGAACCATTAAGATTTTGGTACATTTTGTGTTTATGTACCATTAATTTTTTTTATTGAGACGTTCCAAGTGCCTGTGGTGACCACCATGCAGAGTGCACAAACATTCTATGTAATAATATCCTTCCTTTGACATCGTCAGGTACATCGATACTTTCTACTATGGCTTGAAGGTGATCCGTAAGTCAGAACCCCAGCAGAAACGTTATTACTACCATCTCATGATGTATGAAGATGTTGACTCGAACATGCTTCGTCTGATCGAAGCTTTCATCGAATCGGCGCCACAGCTAGTCTTGCAGCTGTATATCATTGCTGTAGAAACAGCAGAGAAGTCTTCAGAGATAAATCTGACATATATAAGTAAGTTCATTGATACTTACTATGTCATTGGCATTGGTGAGAACAGTACTTAAACGATTGATCATTTGGTACCTGCCCATCACACTATACACCGAATATTAAGAGCATAGGTCGAGCTGTTAAGATTTGTGCTGCTATTCCGTATTTCCTCATACCTTAAGTTAAGGGGGAAACATTCCCCCTCCGTTTACACATCTTTACCTTTGACCCTTGACCCCCAAATTTGTCAGCCCGAGTCCTTTTCACGATCCCCCCGACGTCCCGAATATCGTGAACGCGTACGTCGAGCGGTTAAGATGTTGTCCCCAACTGTTTGACAGGACGGACGCACGGACAATCATGCGATTCTACAAGCTGCATCTGACTTCGTCAGATGAGCTAAAAATTGTGTGAAATTTCTTGTTTGACTGCACAAGAATCAAATCTGTTGAAGGTAAAACGTGGTAAAATGCATACCTCTACAGGGTTCTCCCCAGGATGAAACTCAAACAGGGGGGAGGGGAGGGGAGGGGGAGGGGGAAGGTGAGGGGAGACTAGGAGGGTCCGGGGGGGGGCGCGTGTTTTTTTTATCGTACCATCAATCTAATGCGTAAATCGCCACCCACCACCATAGACGGTATTTGGGTCTTGTATTATATAAGATAGCCGATCGGTGTACAGTTAGTGTTTGGGTGTGGGACATGGTTGACTGTTTGTACTTGTGCGTATTGTCTGCAGTGCATGCGTGGCAGCGTAAAAATACATGCGCCGGTTGTCCTGGTCGAATGGGAAGCCGGGTGTCCTGGTCGGATGGGAATTCTTGACGATCGATTCCCTCGCTGGCAAACTTTTATTGTGGTAGAATTTAATCGGGGCGGAGAACGTAGGGAGAACCCAGCTCTATAAATGCCACAGCATTGTAATTTGTAATTGCTAAATCCACAGTCACCATGAGACACCTCCATACCGTACAAGCGAATTTTTCTGTGCAAAACCATAACGTCTGTCTTTCCGTTTCAGTTATAATCCAGCTCGTCAGCTGCTGCTTCTCCCTGGTCAACCTGTCGTGGGCGATCGCGGCGTACCACCGTTCGCTGCGCATATCGCTCAGAGACAAGGAGAACATGTCACTGTTTGCCACAGTTCTCTACTTCTTCTGGCAGCTGTTCGTCATCGGCGTGCGCGTGCTCGCGATGGCCGTGTTCGCGTCGCACTTCCCGCACCTGCTGTTCGCCGTCGCCGCCGCGCACTGGGCGCTCATGTTCTGCTGGATCTGGCTGCAGCAGACGACGTTCTGCGGCGAGCAGGGCGGCTGGGACGAGCGTCTGTTCGGCGCCGTCGCCGCGTGGGTGCACCTCTTCTGCTTCCTGAACGTCACCGAGGGCCGCACGCGCAGCCGCTACTTCATGTACTACTGCATCGTCTACGTCGAGAACGCGATGATGGTGCTCGTCTGGTTCTTCACGGTCGGCGACAACGCCGACTGGTACAGGTGGCACTGCGTGTGCTTCGTGCTCGCCGGCTTCTGGCTCGGCATCGGCTTCATGCTCGTCTACTACTGGTTCTTCCACCCGAACCAGAGCCAGATCGAGGGCATGTGCTGCATCAAACGCGAGGGTCAGGCGGTCACGGCGTCGGTGACGCCCGCCGCCTCGCGCCACTCGTCCGTCACCTCGCGACCCTCGCAGGTGTCGGCGACGTCCCCCGCGCACGGCGTGCCCGCCGCTGCCTACAGCACCCCCTACGACGAGGTCGACGCCGTCGAGATGAAGCCGATAATCGCAACGGCGTGAAGGGAGTCGGTCGACGGTGCTGTACATACATAAAACGGCGCATGTAGCGCGGGCGTACGTCGTCAACCGTGAGTGAAAGTCTGTGTGTCAGTGTGTATATTTGTAGCAAGAATTTAGCATCCATGGGGTTTTTAAAGCGGCCGTGCGATACGAAGTACATGGGTTAAGTGCATGTGATGTATATATGCTGTGTTATTACCTTCGCCAAACGGAGTTGGAAGAGGTTATGTTTTCGCTCTCGTGTGTTCGTGTCAGTGTTGTAGTCGAGTCTGCACCCCCCCGAGTCCGAGTCCAAGTCCGAGTCCGAGTCCGAGTCCACGCCACCCGAGTCCGAGTCCGAGTCCGAGTCCAGTTTTGATAAAAAAAAGGGGAAAAATCGGAAAAAGGGAAAAAATTGCAACAGTGCATCGTAGACATTTGAAAGTGTATAGTCAGCCGAAAACACAGAGACACGAGTCATATGAAACGTGTCAAAGTAACGGATCCATTTGTCTCCAATCTAACGGTATCCGTTAGTCTGTGCTAGTACCTTTGAAGTGGTAGAAGAAGAGAAAGAAGTGGTAGAAAAAGCGCAAAGGGACGAAGTGACAGCAGATTTAAACCAAAGGGACAAGAATCTTAATCGAGCCATTGAAAACGTTACAAGATTAGGCCGTGTATCTAGAAAACCTAGGAGTTTTAGTTTTAAATTCTTGTAAATTGCGTGTTACAATATGTACAGTTGTGTACTATGTATGTTGTGGCCTCGAGCCGGCCTCGACCCGAGTCCTCGAGTCCGGAGGGCGACAACACTGGTTCGTGTGTTAGTGTGTTCGCGCAATCGATATTAGCGTGTTTGCCAGCGAGCCAGCCAGCGCAGCGAGCCAGCGAGCGTGTACATGTGAGCGAGCAGCAGCAATGAGCGGCTGCTACAAGCGAGCGAGCAGCAAGCCAGCAAGTCAGCGTGTACATGTCAGTACGCTGGCGTATATCGTCGGTTATTCGTATGTTCGTGAGTCGTATGGCGTATGTCGCTGGCGGAGGTATGCACTCTCCGTGAGTGCACTCTGTCTAGTTTAGTTCTGTGAAAGGTTTAATCGGAAAGCAAGCTGTTCTGCTTGAGGCCTTTATTTAGTTTGAGTGCCTTTTATTTTTTTAATATTTTTGGGACTAAAATCACTCATCAAATATATCAAACTTAAAATTACCTTGTGCAAAGCAAGGTAATTAGGTAAGGTAAGGTTAGGTAATTAGGTAAGGTAATAAGGTAGGTTAGGTAATTAGGTAATTAGGTAAGGTAGACAATAAATAGATATTTTTGTCAAACAGCACCAACTTGCCATAGATAATCTACATTCTATCTATAGTATAATACATGTATTTAGAGTTTGAAGTAGATCGCACTATGAATTATTATTAAGTTCAATCTTATTCTAGATAATTTGATCTTATTTCCTCACTATACGCTATCACAATATCACTATACTATATCACTTGTAGCTTGATAAGGCACGTACATGGAAATTCCAATAATTTCATAAAATACTACAGGATCAGTGAGTAATTGCTTGAGAACCTACTGTCATGTAAAATGGCAGTATTCCTTTAACAGATTCCATACAGGTGACAAACCAGCATCATATTCTTTTGCCATGTCTGTTAAAAAAAAACACGAAAAAAATTGCATAGGTCGAGCATTGAAAATAGCAAGGATTTTTAAAATCGAATAAATGTGACCCGCTCCAGCATAATACGGACTAAGTCGCAAGTCATTGTTTTGAGTAATGAGGAATGCACACATGCCAATGCTGAAAATGGCCTACCTGAACAAAAATGAGATTTTTACAAAAATAAGTTCCTAAGTGCATATTTAATCCAGATATATAGGTTCAGATATCTCTAGATTATTATGGTCATTTTTAATAAAAAAAATAAAAAAATATTTTTTAAGGGCCCCTGACCGCTCATCCCTGACTGGTCCCCTTACCCGGAACGCTTTATCTCAAAAGCTGCATATTCCGGAATAAGTCGGTTTCCGATCTTCAAATTGCTGTAGATTGGTCAATTCTTTAGATATAGCCAAATATTATATATCATTTTAAAGGTAATTAAATGATCTATTCAGATATGCACATAACTCAATTGGTAGAATTTCCTACTTAATCTTGGTTTTGCTGGAGCGGGTCACAAATGAAACTAGACAGAGGGCACTCACGGAGAGTGCATACCTCCGCGAGCATGTAACATGTATGTGCTCGCTGGTGGCGGCTGCTGACCGACTCGCCTGCTGCTGACTCGCCGCTCACTGGTGGCTGCTGCTGACTCGACGCGCTATCGATCGCGCGGTGGCTACACACACACACGAGAGCGATTGCATGACCTCCGTTTGCGCGGAGGTAAAAATTGAATTGATCAAGAATATGGAATTGAAGCAAGGTTTTAGGGAAAAGCTTTAAAAATATCTATTATTTTCATAATTGTAGATAGGGACATTTTTTAAATTGATTTATTTTTGCTGTTACTGTAATAAATATATTGAAACTTTTAATTTATAATGCATCCAATAGGTCTAGAAAGCTCACGATTTTCTTTTTAGCTCATCTGACATAGTCAGATGCAGCTTGTAGAATCGCTTGATCGTCCGTCCGTGCGTCCGTCC